ATGTTCCCTGTCCAAGTACAACTTAAGTATTTCAAATTCAGCCTTGAGGTATGCGTGGTTCTTACATACGAGCGCTTGAAAGTCGACGCAACACTGAACAACTAGGTTATTTTTAAAGAACGAATGTTAAATGGAAATTATACATTTACTTTGCAAAATTTGTGGTGATTTATGCAGGTGACCGCAAAAGATAAGTGTAAAGCAAAAGCCATTCATACAGTTAATGACCTGAGTAATTCAAGTCCGGTGCGAAAGCACATGATCGCACGGGCCCACCCGGTGCGTCCCAGTCTGTGTATGCAAATTGCAAAAGCGCATATTGCTGCGACCCTTCTGTGTGTATGTGTGTGCTCATCAGTCTGGGTATTTCAACTCGGCAGTCAAGCAAGCTCCGGCGCCGAAATCTTATCACTTGGTCTCCGGCCAAGGGCCACCCCAGGACCGCGGTACTTACCCTGTTGCAAATCCGAGCGCCGCATGCGGCAGCGTGAAAGTTACGACGGGAAAATTGCTAACTCAGGAACGAGAAAAGCTGCAAGGCTGGAATTTAAGGGAATGCTCCCTACTCATTGCGGCTAAAAGGTTTTAAATTCAACTGTCCTAGTGGGTCTTTTTCGCGTACCAGCAGCATTCCGTTTGGCAATGGTCACTGAAGCCGACATCTGCAACTGACATGCCGCATAGCTGCACAATTAACGTCCCGAACTTCGAGAGCCAATATGTTACAAATTCTAGCTACTGTGATTCCTTGAGAATTTGCTACAGCACGAAATAGTACAAAAATGCATGACCTCACAGACCCGCCTAGTGCGTTCTAGCCTGGGCTGTTTTTGTTTCGCTATTTTTACTATTAGTGCAAAAGTTGTGCTTAAATGGCTTATCAAATACTGTGGCTAAGTTTTCAAAGCCATGCTGCTGGCAGCCAGGTCCTAGAGCCTACGAGGCAGTCATGCACTTTTAGGGTGCATTTTTGTTGTATCTGTGTTTTTCCAGTAAAACACGAAAGATTTTCAATGGGACATTAAAAACAGTAACATAAATTATCATCTGGAATGTCGGACTAGTCCTTTTCTTTCAGTTTCCGTGTTCTGCACTAGTACTGAACAAAAACTACTTATCATCAAGTACATTCCTTTCAATGGGACATTAAAAACAGTAGCATAAATTATCATCTGGTATGTCGGGCGACTTGCTTCTCGAGTTCGAAAGGTTTTATTTTTTCAGGAAGCAGAAGCAGTAGAAACAATGGCGCAAATTAATTCCATGAATGTTAACGAGCAGATGCTAATCAATGGTACCGCTCCTGAAAAACTGATGGACTCTGAAGTAAATTCAGGACTGCTGGCCAGGTTCACATCTACGAGTGCTGCGCAAGATTCAAAAATAAACTATCCTGCCGTTTTAGGATATCCGCCAGTGTTGCCCCTCTATGCAACTCAACAAGTCCCTTACATGCCCAGTCCAATAACTGCTGAGCTATCCGCTTTTCCACTATCTTTCACCAAAATAATGCAAACACCTGCCGCTCCACTATTTATTTTTACTCAACCAGTAACATCACCTCCTTTTTTTAACCAGTCACCAGCTCCCACAAACGCACAGTTTTCCACATCCGCGTTCAACCAAGAAATTATTACTAAAAACAAGAATCTGAATGAGGAAGTACTTGAAGCAGCGGGATCACAAAAATCGGAGCTGAGTCTGCCTGTCGGGCCTCAATTCGTCGGCCTATCAGGACAGGAAGCAACAGCAGCAGTTCTTCCTGGCCAACCAATTTTGCCGTCACTTTCAGATCAGGCTGCATTGCTGTTACAGGCTGGCCAACCAATCATTGTGCCAGACCTGTATGCTTCCAGTCTCCCAGATCAGCCAGTACAATTTACAGCAGTGCCACTGCAGACAACCTGGATTCCGGTACCGGCACTAGGGGGATTCGAGAACGTAAAGTCAGGTGCAGACAAAATGACGTTTACACAGACTATCACATCATCAGCATCTACTTCAGCTGCGATCACTGAACAGTCTGCAGTTACGCCGAAGGCTTTAAACTGGGTTCCGTCATCCAGCCAAGCAGTATTACCTTCAAACAGTGGAGTAATTGATGAATCAAAGATTTCCAATGGCCCTCTGGAATTTAGTTCCGCTCTTCCCAATACTACTGCAAATCCCTTGCAGCAGCAACCGACTGAACAGCAACCAGTTGATTTGACTAAAACAAATACTGCACAAAACGAAGCTGCACAGGTTTCGATTCAGAACACTCCGTTTCTCGTTGGAAGTATACTTGGACAGCCTAAGCCAATCAACCAGGAAAATAGCCAACCACTAGCATCAGACAATGTCGGAACGATGCTGTTCCAGCAGTTACCGCAACAAAGCTCAGTAGTTCAAGGTCAGCAGGAAATACCAGCGCAGTCCAGTGAAGCCTCCACAGCTTACGGACAGATTCCAACTTAAACGACTGAAGACGCCCTTCAAAATCAAAGAAATGCTTCACTGTAGTCAGTCGCCGGCATAAAACCAACAAACATGTTTTAACGACGATCACTGCCAGTGAGCAGATAAAAGGTCACCTGCTATTCGGTTTTTCATTTTTGATAAGTTTTGTTTCGAATTTTTATAAGCAAGACAAACATATTAACGAAACTGTTTTTTTTCTCTTCCTTGCTCTGTCTCTTTTTATGTTGTCCAGTTTCAATGTTATGACGCTTTGGAGCTAATAGCCCGTCTAAATTCGCTGGATCGTGAGCTGTGTCCATAAGTTCACATTTTTCAGTCACACCGCATACTAGATGAGTTTCTGCATATTAGATTCAAGTTCAAAAATTCATCAAGAGTTCCTGTGTGTAGGTGTTCAGGGTGCATTTTGTCATCTATTTTCAACCCATCAACCAGAAAAACAAAGGGTCTGGAATTTTTGGACCGTATTCCACACCACTTGTAACTCAAAAATCAAAGTTATCGGAAGTCTGAAAGACGTTAAAAAATTTTGGTGGGAAGGTGATTTTGAAACCAAACAAGAAAAAAAGCTGAAATTTTACAAG